CAGCCGGGTGTCCCCAGCCGCTTGCAGGCGGCTCCAGAGCCCTGATGCATTTGAAGCCAGAGCTGGGACTCAGCGGGAGGTTTCGCCAAAGCTCCGCGCTTGCAATTGCCACGTAGCGATCCTCTCCCTTGCCGTAACCGTGAGGTGTTGCTAACGTGGTCGGCAGCCAAGGTTTGGGCTGGAATTTCCCCCCCAGCCATATTGCAGGGATTTCATTGAACCGGCGGCAGGCGGAATTGTGGTGTTTAATTATTATACGTGTCTCTGTGCAGGCGTATGTATTTAGAGGTGTAAAAATCACAAAGTTTTATCGTAGGAGCGGGCTGCTGACGGGTTTGGCCAGTGCCGTGGTCGTGGCGCTGCAGCTGGCAGATGGGGAAAGCTGTTCTCCTCTGGCGCAGGAGCTGATTAAGGAGAGAGTAGCCCCAGAGAGAGTCAGCAATGAGTTTTGGCCCAGTTGGTTTGATTGCAGGTTAATTAAAATAGTGTTTTGCTGGCAGAACAAAGGCTTCAGCTAGCTGTGACTGGCTTGGCGAAGGAACCGAAGCCAAATTTGTTCTTGAAGGAGGCCCTTGAGAGCTTGCTGCAGGGGGGGGAGAGGATCCCCAAGCTGCTTGCCTCCTTGTCCCTCCATCCCTGTCCCTTGCTGGGTGCTGTTGCTGACGTTTCCCTGCTAACCTGGCCTTTCTCTTCCCATTTGCTAGGTCAAGCTGGGAGCTGCCCGACCTGCGAGAAGGAAGAGTCAAAGCCATCAGCGATTCAGATGGCGTGAGCTACCCCTGGTACGGAAACACCACAGAAACCGTGACCCTGGTCGGGCCCACAAACAAGATCTCCAGGTTCTCGGTGAGCATGAATGACAATTTCTACCCCAGCGTGACGTGGGCTGTCCCTGTGAGCAACAGTAATGTGCCGCTGCTGACCAGGATTAAAAGGGACCAGAGCTTTACCACGTGGCTGGTGGCCATGAACACCACCACCAAGGAAAAGATCATCTTGCAGACTATAAAGTGGAGGATGCGAGTGGACATTGAGGTTGATCCCATGCAGCTGCTGGGGCAGCGGGCACGGTTGGTGGGAAGGACTCAGCAGGAGCAGCCCCGGATCCTCAGCAGGATGGAGCCCATCCCGCCAAACGCACTAGTGAAACCCAACGCCAACGATGCCCAAGTCCTCATGTGGAGACCCAAGCGAGGCCAGCCTATAGTCGTGATACCTCCCAAGTAGAGCAGCGCCGGTGTGCGCGCGTGAGGACCTGGGTGCTGTCAGCCTGCTGCAAACGAATGGGGTTTCTGAGCCAAAGCAGACCTCTTTGGTGGTTCTGCCTTTGTAGCTGTGGTTGGAAACGTGGCTCCTCCGTAGTCAGAAAGAGAGCCTGGCTGGTGCAGGGGTGCGGAAGAGGGATCGCTGAGCTGGAGGATTTCCCAGGAAGCAGAATCGAGTACTTCTAGGGGCTTGCGGCTGGCAAAGAGGCTGTCTGACCTGAACGACCCGTCTTTCCTTGCAGGGCAATGCAAGGAGCATGACTGCGATCGAACCGTGCCTGTGGCAAATGCTGCTTTCCACCCAACTGGAGGTAGAAGCGGAGACCGTGCCTGCCGGATGCGGAGGGCTCCTGCGGTGACCCTTCCCGCTGGGGTGCGGGCGTACCTGCGGTGTCTATACCTATGCATTTCAGATCGATAATCGACCCCTCGCCCTGCCCGCTGGGACTGGGCAGGAGGGCCCAGGAGCAGAATGGGAGCCCGGTGCTGGCCATCGCTGCTGCCCGGGAGGGGTTTTCTGCAGCTGAGGGGAAGCAGGATGTTTTGCATGCGTCTGGGTGTGTTTGGAGTAGTTGTGAGCGTAGGAGATGCCATAGCTCTTTTCCGTCTTTGAGTGAGATCTAAGGGCAGGTTAGATGTCCTTTCGTTTTAAGGTGCACTAAATCTTTGCTGTTCCTCAACCTTCCCTCCCTCCCCAAATCCCACTGGCCCTTTTGTTATGGAAGCAAACCCGATTCTCAGCTGAGCAAGGAATTGGGAGCCTGTTCACCCAGCCCAAGGTGAGCAAGTGCTTGCTGACTGTGGGGTATCCAAACCAGCTTGGAGGTACCCTGGGACTCACACGCTTCCACTGCAGACCCAAGTCTCTTGCAAGAAGTTGGGTGCTTGCTCATTTTCCATGCCAATGCCAGCTTACATGGAGACCCTCCTCCCCCTCAGCCACCCAGGGAGCAGGGTAGACATACTGGTGGGGATGCTGGCAGTGGCAGGGAGGGGATGGCATGCCTTGTGGTAACTCCCCAGGCTCTGCAGGGATGGGGGTCTCCTCTCCGTGGGTCGGAGGCAGGGATGTGAGCAGAGGCTGCACAGGGCAGGCCTGGGTTTGCCTGGGAAAGAGGAGGCAAATGTGCTACCTGGGCGCTGCCTCCTGCTGCTGCAGGTGCTTGGGGGGTAGCAAGGGGTTTTATTTGCCTTTCTCTTGGCCCCATGCTGCCTGGATGATTGGGATCGTCTGGTCTGTGGGGCGGTGCTTGTGCCATGGCTGTGACCTGCAATTCCCAACATTTCATCCTTGGGATACAGCAGAGGTGAAAGCTTGTGCCTGGGCTGCCAATGCCCCAGGTGCCCCGTCACTCCCTGGCAGATGGTTACGGCTTTCGCTGCTTTCTGCACTTCGTCCGCTGCCCCAGCACAAGCCCTGCGGCTTCTCCAGCTCATGCCCCTGCCTTCGCGCCCTGGGAGGTTTGTTCTGCCCTGGGGATGCGGGTAATTCCCACTGGGAGGGTCCCACCTTCTGTCCCACTGCCAGGAGAGCCTGGGGAGGGGCGCCATGTTCAGCACTTCCATGGAAAGCCTTTTCTGCGGTATTAGCAGCACTGCCCTCAGCCTGGCTGTCGGGATGCCCAGCCCAGTGCTGCTTTGCTCCCCTCGGTGTGCTGGCACATCCCTGTGGCATCGCTCTGCAGAGCGTGGCCAAGCTCCTGCAAAGCTTCAGCCATGGCTTGTGCTTTTCCAGGGTGGAATGTGCACCCCAGTCCCTGCCGGCAAAGGGGCTCCCCAGGCATCTTAGACCAAAAATCCCTGTGCTACTTATTATTCTCAGTAGTGTTTGCTGCTGATTCGATTCTTTCTTTCTTTTTCTTTTGGAAGCATTGCATTTTGACGCCTTGACGCACACTTCCCCATGCTGGGGCCGGCAGTCCTGCTCCTCCTGCTCAGCGTCGTGGGTGGGCTGGGAACTTGCTGCTTTTGGTGCCTATGTCTGGGTTTTGCCAGGGGCTACAGCCTTGTGGTGGGAGAAGTTTGGAGGGAGAGGGGGCTCTGAGCTTTGGTTTGCTGTGTTTTCTGGAGCAAAGCTTCTACTGGGAGCTTGCCAGCGCAGGAAGATGTCCCACCCTTGTGAGACTCTGCCCATGGTTTTGTCCTGGTATGGGATCGACGGCAGCTTTTGCCATCACTGATGTTTCATTTTTTCAAAAAGTGTGTGGAAGGGGGTTAGAAACTTTAAATACGGTTTTCCGTACAATTTGGGGGAGGAGGAGGAGGAGGGGTAAGGACCTTTCAGTTTGAAATAAGGCAGACATATGTTTTTGACCCAGTGGGGCAGAAACGTCTGTGGCAGCACTGGTGCTAAAAAGCCAGAGGAAGAGGTTCCCCAACAAACAGGTAGCCCCAAGGTGGGCTCCTGGCCAGGAGAGGATGCTGTGTCCAGAGAGGCTGCGTGAGCCAGCTCCCCAAAACCTGCGGGGAAGGGCTGGGGCTGTGCTCCGGGGCTGCGCCTGGGGAGCTGCTGTGGCACCACCGTGGTGCCAGCCGGCTGGGAGAGGGGGAGCTGGTGCAGGGATGCTGTTGAATTCGTTGCCGGCTTTTGGGATGTGCTGGCCAACTGGAGCCTCGGCACATCGTCTGCTGCATTGGCATGACACCAAGACGGCAGCGGCCGCTGTTTCTGCCCGTGTGTGCCTGCAGCATTCTTAGGGAGGTGCTCGGTGCCGCCTGGTGCTGGTGTTGGGCTTGGTGCCTGGCCACAGCCGTGTGCCTGTGCTCCCAGGGCTGCCCCAGCCTGCAGGCAGGCTCTGGCTGAGCCCAGGGGCCATGCCTGTGTTCCCCTCTCTGGGCTCCTGTGCCCGCTCCTTCTCCGACGGCTGGATTTGATGCACTTAACTTGGTTTGATGCATGGGTTGTCTTTGTGGGCATTTCCCTGGGTTTTTTTTAGAAAAAAAAAAGGTTTGTAAAAATTGTTTGCAAAAAAATTGCGAGCAATGTTTGCAAAAATTTGCAGGCATTTTGCATGTTTGCAAAACGTGCGTGTTCACGCTCGGATAGAGGTGCTGGGTGAGCATCTCCCTGAGCTCGGTAGCGCTGACTGGTGGAGCCCGGTGGCGGGTGAAAGC